CGTCGACGCCGCGTCGGCGGGCGTCGGCACGGTCGTCGGCACCTTCGTGTCGCTGCCGCAGTCCATCCTCGGCGACCGCATCATGGCCGGCACCTACCCGACCCTCGGCGCGGCGCTCCGGGGCGTCGGCGCGCGGAACCTCTGGCCCCGCGCGACGTGGGTCGCCGCGCTCGCGGCCAAGGTGCCCGCGTACAGCCTCAACTGGGTCGCGTACCAGCGCCTGCGGCGCGCGGAGCTGCGGCGCACGCGCGGCCGGACGCCGACGCCCGCGCGCGACGTGTTCCTGGGCGCGTGCGCGGCGTCGATCTCCGTCTGCGTCATGATCCCGCTCGACACGGTCAAGGTGCGCATGACGACGGGCAACCTGGGCCTGCCCTACGCGCACGTCGGCGAGGCCATCGGGACCATGCTCCGCACCGAGGGCGTGCTCGCCTTCTACCGGGGCCTGCCGCCGCGGCTCCTGTCCGTCGTGCCCATGACCGCGCTCCAGTTCGCGGCCTACGAGTTCGGCAAGCGCGCGATCCCGCGCCTCGAGGCCGACGCGGCGGCGACGTGGGCGCGCCTCACGGGCAAGGTGGTAACGGCGCGGTAGCGGCGCGGGCGCGGTAGCAGTAGCGGCGCGAAGCGCGGCGCGGCGCGGGCGCGTGCCCGAAAGGCCTCCCGGAGCCTACGAGCCTCCTACGGCGTAGGCCTGCCGGGGGACCCCGGCACCTGCCCCGGCGCCGGCGGCGACTCGAGGAGGCCTTCGAGGCTTCGCACTCTCGATCGAGGGCAAGGTCGATCGGGCCTGCCCATGAGGGGAGAAGCAGGGAGAGCCTCTCTTTGGCATTTGCCGGCGCGCGCGCGGCCGGCTGTCCATGGTCACGGGCTACGGATCGCGGCAGACGTGCCTCTGGTGTGCTCGGAAACGTGCTCCGTGACCATGGACACCCTGACCGTCGTCCGGAATCGCTGCGCGAAGTTCGAGCATTTCGGCATGCTCTGCGAGCCGAAAGGCAGCCCATTTTGGGCTCTGGGCAGCGTGCTGGCTGGCTCGGAGGCTCGGGGTACATGTCTGATACCCTCGGGCTGCTCAGTTGCTGACTTGGCTCGGACGACGTGCGACACCGCGCGCGCGGGCGTGCGGGCGCGCGCGACGCGGTTTCAGCGCGAACATGTCAGATCGACT